TCCTAGATAGTATTTTTGGTCTAATACCTCAGAAGGTTGCTCTCAGTCCTGTTTGTGAAATGGGTACTGTACATGAGTTAAAACACAAAAATAAAGACACCAAGAACAAAGTTAGAAATTAAAATGAGTAATCCACTTCACAGGATTAATTCAAATTTGAAACACACAAACAATTTCATAACAGTAATAATATTAATATTGGAAAGAAAGATGTCAGTGTTATCCATTACCAGTTAAATACACAGAGTTGTCTCAAGGAACTTTGGATGTCAGATAATACCCAACTTACCATATCCTCAGTATAGCCAGCCAATCCCGTTTTAAATTTGGCAATACAAAACTGGTGGGAAACAACATCAAATTCTAAACTGCTTCCAATTTAGATAAGTCTTTTAAAGAAACACTTGGGCACCTATTGCAATGCAGTTTTCATTCTTTCATACTTTATACTTTCATTTTCATTCATTCATACTTTATACTCCTAAATGCACAGTTTTTGCAATGATCAGTCAACTAGTTTGAGATCCTTCCAAATGTAGGGATTGGAAAATCTATAGAATCAGTGGGAAAACATGTAAATACATAAATATATACAATGTATTTATCCCTTGTTGGTCTTTACATATTGCTCGGCACATTTCCTAAAGCAGTGGTTCTCAACCTTTTTAATGCCGTGACCCCCAACCGGTCGTAAGTCGAGGACTAAACCGGTCGTAAGTCGAGGACTAAACCGGTTGTAAGTCGAGGACTACCCAACCGGTCGTAAGTCGAGGACTTTCCCTGCCAGGGAGCGCAGCGCATGCTTGGTTCTGCCCTCTGCACCGGCCGAGGCATAGCTGGCAAGCAGCAGAGACCGAGCAGGCCGACCACCAGCTGGCCCAGCTCAAGGGAGGTAAGGCACCCGCTGGAAAAGGGGGGAAAAATGGCGGACAGCCTTGCTTGGCGACCCCCGTGAAATGGTCGATCAACCCCAAATGGGGTCGCGACCCATAGGTTGAGAACCGCTGTCCTAAAGCAAAACTATTGATTTTTTTTATTATTATTCAATTCTGACTCTCTCAAGCCTACTGATCTTTGATACACTTCTTTTTTAAATTTGAGTTTGGAAATTCATAAACATCTGGTGGTTGGATAAAACGGGTCTTGCAAAATAGGGAATGCTTACAAAATATATTAAATTTTATAAATTTAAGTACATTTCCAAAAGAGATCAGGGCATGACTTTAAGTTTATTTCAGATATGGTATGAATTTATGTCCTTTCTGAAAGTTTGATAACATACAGTACATGACAATGAGGAATGACACGACTGGAAGTCAAAGTTTAGACTATACTCCCTATATAAAGAATGCTTCAAAAACATGTAGCTGCAAATTCAAGATACATTGATATTCAAAGCCATCATGTAATGTTTTAGAATTAATACCCTTGGAACAATATGGAATCCATTCATTTATGCCCCACATTTTACCTGTTTCTCTTTTTTTTAACGCGGTTTACTCATGAAATGATGAAAGCTCAGCAGTTTTATTGTGGATAAATCTGTAGTCTGAAGTATAGTTTGGAAATGATAGACGTTATGTTTTATTATCTCTGTTGAGCAAATCCATATTTTGGTTTAAGGTCATTGTTGATTGGTTTAAGTTAATTATTTCTGTTTTATTACTAAACATTTATATTTGCTTTCTTTAAAAAAAAGCAGCTATTTATAGTGGCTCTTTGTATTATGTTTCTCTCAATAAAACAAATACATTAAATTTAACATGCCATGGTTTGCATGCAGAGTATTTCATAATTTCACAAACCTATATCAATTTAAAAGCTTAAGGAAATTTGGAAAGTATTCCTATGCACATTCTTGTATTGTTCCAGTGATGATCTTGTTTTATTTATTTACGAGAGTTCTGGACCACCAATTCATCTTAGATTCTAGACAATTTATATCCAATGGCACAAAAAACACAGTTAAAACTTCTTTACAAGTGTTAAAAATTATCTTTTTCCAATCACCCCTTGCTTCTCTTCAAGAGGCACCTCTCAGCAGTGTCCCAAAGGTTCTTTGAAAGGGCACCATCTTAAAGATCTTCTGAAATAGCAATACAAGCAGCCCTTACTTATCAACCATTCATTCAACGAATATTTGAAGTTGTGATGGCACTGAAACAAGTGAGACTTATAACCACTCCATGAAGCTCTGACTGTCCTAGCAACCCTCTTATCATGTGATCATGATCAGGGTGTTTCGCAACTGTCTCATACTTAGGATGGTTGTCGCACTCTGTGGTTGCATGATTGCCCTTTGCAACCTTCCCTTCTAATTTCTGACAAGCAAAATCAAGCTGGCAAAGGTCTCAAGTGACTTCTGCCAATTTTTCTCCAAGGTATCCACTATGCAGGACCTCGTATTCTATAGATGTGCATGCCCACAGCAGCTCCTGCCCACACTCCATAGTGCATACAAACAGAACTCCATTCATGCAGCACTGCAATGTCCCTTCCTGCACTTGCCCAGTGTCATAGTGTCCCTTCCTACTACCTAGTCTTGTAATGCTGCAGCACCCCCTCCCCCACTCAGTTCCATCACATAGCACTCATTTGCCTGCCTACTTGTTGGGACTTGCAATTTTCTGTTGGCTTCACTGTTGACTTTGCTTGTTGGAAGCCAGTGGGAAGTCACAAGACATGGTCATGTGAGGTTCTCACTTAACAATCCATGATCTTTACTTAACAATAGCAACTGAGACGGCTAGGATTGCTATTGCTAAATGATGTGATCATGTGATGTTGTACTTTATGCCTGCATCACTTAGGGACAGAAATTCTGATCCCCAGAATTGTCATTAAGCAAGGACTACCTCTAAATAAGTAACTGTTATGATCTTATTGGGTAAACTGTTCCACAGCAAAGCAGGTACAATTGAAAACATTTCCTTCTGGAACCCCACCTCTTTCACATCTGGAAAGAAGGAATCTATAGCATGTATTGGACAGTTATATTCTACAAGGAACATAAGGGCCCTGAAGTAATGAGCACTCAAACTATATGGGACTTTACAGATGACAACCAGCACCAGCATTAGAAGAATAGAATAGAATAGAATAGAATAGAAGCTGGAAGGGACCTTGGAGGTCTTCTAGTCCAGCCCCCTGCTTCATCAGGAGAACCTATACCAGTGGTTCTCAACCTTTTTAATGCCGTGACCCAAACCGGTCGTAAGTCGAGGACTAAACCGGTCGTAAGTCGAGGACTAAACCGGTCATAAGTCGAGGACTAAACCGGTCATAAGTCGAGGACTACCCAACCGGTCGTAAGCCGAGGACTTTCTCTGCTCGGGAGCGCCGCGCATGCGTGGTTCCGCCCCCTGCGCCGGCCTAGGCGTAGCTGGCAAGCGGCAGAGACGGAGCAGGCCAACCACCAGCTGGCCCAGCCCAAGGGAGGTAAGGCACCCGCCGGAAAAGGGGGAAAAAATGGCGGACAAAAAAAATGGCGGACAGCCTTGCTTGGCGACCCCCGTGAAATGGTCGATCGACCCCAAATGGGGTCCCGACCCACAGGTTGAGAACCACTGACCTATACCATCTCAGACAAGTGACTGTCTAATCTCTCCTTTAAAACCTCCAGTGATGGAGTGCCCATGATTTCTGAAGGCAAGCTGTTCCACTGGTAAATTGTCCTCACTGTTAGGAAGTTTCTCCTTAATTCCAGGTTTCTTCTCTCTTTGATCAGTTTCCAACCATTGTTTCTTGTCCTGCCCTCTGATGCTTTGGAGAATAGTTTGACACCCTCTTCTTTGTGGCAGCCCCTCAAATACTGCAATACTACTATCATTTCATCCCTGTTTCTTCTTTTCTTTAGACTAGCCAAACCCCAGTCCTGCAGCCGTTCTTTGTGTTTTAGTCTCCAGGCCTTTGATCATTTTAGTTGCTCTTCTCTGAACTTTTTCCAAGATTTCAACATCTTTTTTGTAATATGGTGATCAAAATTGGTTGCAGTATTCCAGGTGTGGTCTCACTAGGGTTTTATAAAGCGGTACTAATACTTCACCTGATCTTGGCCCATATGGCTGCTTTTTCTTGTCCCAGCTTTCACCTGTCAACATGCAGCATTTTATGAGCTTCCAAAATATTTTCAAGATAGCTTTGAAGCAAACTCAGTTACTCAGTCATCTGATGATTTCTGCAGAAACAGCACCAGCTTTTTTAGATTTGTAAGAAAAGCAACAATAGCTAAATGTTTTTG